TCTATGTCGTTTACTTTTTGTTGTATGATTGGGATATATAGTTTCTTTTTCTATTTCAGAACTGGATATTTATCTATGTCGTTTACTTTTTCTTGTATGATTGGGATATATAGTTTCTTTTTCTATTTCAGAAGTGGATATTTATCTATGTCGTTTACTTTTTGTTGTATGATTGGGATATATAGTTTCTTTTTCTATTTCAGAACTGGATATTTATCTATGTCGTTTACTTTTTGTTGTATGATTGGGATATATAGTTTCTTTTTCTATTTCAGAACTGGATATTTATCTATGTCGTTTACTTTTTGTTGTTTAATCTTTGCAAAAATTATGTATTAATTGCAAATAATTTAGGAGTATAGATTGTTAAATTTAATCTATTTTAATTGTCTTCTTCAATAATTATGATAAGCACATTGTGTATCTGTCTGTGGGGATATTTAAAGTTATCTGGAACCCTTTATTCTCTCTTGAGATATATTACCACCTCATTTGCATACCTTTGTTCATGGGATATTCTGTTTAATCCATCCCAGTAGATGTCTAGAGCTCTCTTTCACCAGGCTGGTTCAGTTGCCATAAGCGTATTGCAGCAGATCATATATTCACTAAGGAGAGTTGGTTCTGAACATCAGAATTGGCTCAGGATAGAAAACAACCAGGAAATGAGAATGCTTGCTGGAATGGCAAGTGTTGACCGACCATATTACAGAATTGTTATGCAGTTTAACCCTTGCTAGTGGAGTGTGTTAGAACTTTTAAACTGGTTAGTCAAACATTATTTCACCATAATTTTCTCTGGTACATGCTAATATACCTTCTGTGTTTATCCTAATTGGATGAATTTAATATATTTGGGTACTATTTGTAGATTAAATATAGATTTATATTTTGTGCATTGGTGTGTTTATTTTATATTACAGTGCAAATGTCTGTGGACTTGATTTGTAGTAGTAAAGTCGACCTAGTCAGTGAGTTGTTGCCATCATTATGTCTATACTAAATTTATTGTGATAAAAGCAAGCCTGTTTCGGAGCTGAGACTACCTAAATACCAGTGCACCACATGTTAAAACTCTCAATCTTCCTATAGCAGTTGGGGGAAAAAACTTGTACCAACCTTACAGTAAAGTCCAGAATGTAGATGAATCATTGAGAGTAACAAAAAAACTACAGTCTATACATTCGTGAACTGTTACGTACACAGAATATCGCTAAAAAGGTATGCATGCAGCATCACTAATTCAGAACTTGTCGAGATTATGAAAGATCAAGGTGTTGAATGAAACACGCATTGTTGGCATGTTTCTACCTGTCCAGGCGATAGACTTGCAATACGATGGTCGACGGAAGCATGAGTAACACAGCCGATACAGATGGTGAATGTAACGAACACGATCAGAAGATGCATGCAGTTTCAGGCCTCTTGTTAGCATCTGGTATATCTTGCATGTTTTATTTTAGATGCTCAGTTTCAGACCTGTCTTCAGTCCTTTTCTTCTTTGTCCCTATGCCCCTTCCTAACCCCCCCCCCCCCCCCCCCCCCCTTTTTCCACCTCTCCCCCTTTGCGTGCAATGCGAACTATTTCATCCTGTTCCAATGAATCTATAACAGTATCTGTATCATTCATATCTCGCTTGTACTATCTTATATTGTAGTAGGGAAAACCCCAGAAAGAGGGAGGGGAGAGAGAGCTCGAGACGTAAAACGCACGGAGAACAATAATGTGAATAGGAAAGCGTGGAGCTGTAGGAAATGCCAAAAGATACAGAGGATAGAGAAGCAGGGATTGGCGTGAGTTACTTGAGGGTATTTCTTCCTTTGATGAATGATTGTTGCTTATCCTTTACAGGATGTTGCAGAACCAACCCCAACAGCCCCTGGCTGTTGGGTGGTTTTTCTAGGCAAATTTACGTCTAGTAGTTTGCCATTGCCTCTGGGCGGTCGGCTTTCTTGATACCACTGTCGAAACCAACGCAAGGCGCATGGCCCGCAGCTGGGATCGAACCCGGCATTACGAAGCGTTCGCATCGACTTAACCACAGAGCCGACCATTGATAAATACCAGGTTAAAACCTGCTTGTAAAATCCGTCTTACACACATTATGGTAAACAATCCTAGATTTCTTTCCTGGTTAGGAGTAGATCAGGTTATCTCAAGAAGCCATTCATAGATTGTCACACCGCAATCTACTGCTTCTAAGAGCCCGTCTGTAAGTTCAGGTTAAAAATGAGCGCGAGTGAGACTGGGGAAGTTCTCAGGACTAGACCTTGTTTTTAATGTGATAATGACATATTCAGTGAGCATGCTTAAGAAGATACAAAACTCCAACTAGAATTGGTTGACAGCATCCATAAGTGCCACCTCGGGAACTTATCTTGACTGTAAACACCAGAGTGAAGGAAACGAAAGATTCGACAGACTAGCCATGCCTGCAGTGGTTTGTAGAGGAAGACGTGTGGACTGGGCAGACAGACTGAATGCACTGCGTTCTAGAGATTTTGAGACAAAGGAGTCTGAGAAAATGAACCGGCTGTTGGGAATGAGTAGTAAACGAGGACAAGCTGCGAGACAAAGATAGAAGACATGCCAGTCAACTACCAGGTACGCTGTGCATGGAGACCCTGAGATGGCTGCTGCATCGGAGGACGGAGGACGAATGGGTCGGACCGAAGTGAGTAGGTCGGACCGATGTTAGTAGTCGGACCGATGTGAGTAGGTCGGACCGATGTGAGTAGGTCGGACCGATGTGAGTTAGTCGGACCGATGTGAGCTGGCCGGACCGATGTGCTGTGACGCAGATATGGACAAATAAGAAGTAATGTCGTGCCGTCTCCACAATGAAGATTGGCTGCAGTGCACCAACTGCCGACTTTAGGGAATATTACGCAGTGAGACCTTCTTGTACCAGCCCGAACACCACTTTTTTAATATTTTTTTTTTCTTCGTTTGTTTTAATGAGCCGTCCTCCGGAGAATCCACCCTGATACATCGAAGGTCGTGAAGCTGTGAATCATATTCACTAACCTCTAAGCCACAGAACTTCACAAACTTTGTAAGGACAGCCAAAAAGACCACAATAAAAACACAAAGTTTGAGGTGAGGGTGTTTCTAAAGAAAAACCCTAAGAATTGCCCCAGTTGTAACCTTTTATTAAGTTAAACATGATGAATCAACACGATAAAAAAAATTATATAAACGTTCATGTCTTGTACAAGTATGTATTGGAGATGTAGTGTTCTGTCATAATTTCATACAAGTCCGTATCTAATGTTCTATGAGGAATCAGTATACGCGTACAAGCAGGAAGTACGTCGTCGGGAAGTGAAAGCGACCGACTTGATAGACAGTGCGCCTTAACCGCCTGTTGTTAGTTTGATGGGAAGGGTCAGTCTGTGTTTGTTGTGTCGGGAGTTGTGGCTTATTGTCCCTAGCTGTTTGTGTTGTCACTTCAGACGTGTCTGGGTTATGTTATCACAACTGACATTACTGTACACTGGACATTCACATGCGTGCCCAGTCCTCCGATGCAGCAGCTACTAAAAGGTACGTCTACTAACTGTCTCCATGAGAAGTTGATTATAGTGTCTCCTGTCTTCACCATGAAGTCGGCATAGACATTCTTCACCAAGCTTTATTCGCAGGTACGCAATCGTGTTACCGTCAGAGATTTGTCGTTAACTGATTGAATAAAACACAGATGAAGGTGATGCTCTAGTTTACACAGATGGGTCAGTAATTAGGGGCAGGCGAAGTGCTGGGCATTCACAGAAGTTCAAGGGGGAAAACCCTCAAGGAGATGAATGGCGCCTGTTACAACTAGTAGCCTTCATAGCACTAGGGAATTTGTGGAGGTCAAAAGAAATTAAAAGAAATACTAAACTAAAAATTTTTAATTCTTATGTCAAATCAGTACTATTGTGTGTGGCGGAAACATGGAGAACTAAGACAATTACTAATAAATTACAGACATTTATTAACTGGTGCCTGCGCAGAATAGAGGGAATTAAATGGTATGATAGAATAACGAATGTAGAACTTTGGGAGAGAACTAAACAGGCTCCAGTGGGCCAAGAGGTGAGGAAAAGACGCTGGCGTTGGATAGGACACACACTGAGAAAACAGGAGAACAGCATAACTAGAATGTCTTTGCATTGGAACCCATAGGAATTAAGGAAGGCCAAAAAAACACATGGAGAAGAGAGCTGGAGAATTAAGATAGGAATAGCTCCATGCAATGGCGAAGGATATAACGACTTGGCGTGAGTTGGTTGAGGGCCTATGCTCCATTGGGAGATAGAAAAAAAGAAGAAGAAAATTCGGGCAATGGGCTAGCTCCCGTGCGCCTATCATGTGGCTATTTGCTGTATTAAGTAAATGGTACCAGGCGACACCAAGACAACATGATTACACAAGCAAAATTGAAATTTGTTTATGCGATTCATTCTGTATCAGAGCGAAACGATTGTTTTCCAGCTTGGTCCACATAGAGTAAAACTTCAAATGTTTGTGAAGCAGTTCTTGCAGAAGTGTGTGTATTCAACTGTTTTAAGATTAACTTATACTTTACATCAACCACTTGGCGGATTGTGAAAGAAGAAAAAATATTATTCTTTTCACTGTGTCGGGTTCAAGTACACAATGGTTGACCTTTCATTCATGCATGCTCAGGCTAGTCTATGTTACAGGGGTGTCACGTTGTATTGTCTTCGCAAGGCGTCTTATAACAACTACTAACACACAACACAGAAAGCTTTGCGAAGACAATACAACGTGACATCAACACATATACATAATATTTGACAACACAAACCATCTCATAAAAACCTTGTATGTGCATTAAAATTATGTAATACACATTATTTCCAAGATTTATTTAATTGTTTCAATTTATGAGTGGCAATAATAAAACCAACTGAATAATGCCAGTTGAATTAATGACACCAATTCGCGTAACACAGCCTATACACTGTTGTGTCGAAAGCTCTGCATTAAAGATTTACTTCATTAGGAAAAGGACAGAAATCACCAAACACAAGAAAATGGAACTCTGCCTGAAGTTGATCGCAGTACTCTTAAGAAACCACGGCTTGTGAGTTTTGTAATTATGGTGATGACGAATGCTGCTTTGCTCATCTATGTCGTTCTCATGATGTGAATTGAAAGCTTCTTCGCTCTTGACTGTCTTGTCGTGTTGCTTTTCGTTGTTGCTGGGCGATGAGGAAGGCTTCTCGGGACCGCGTTTTATCTTGTTCTGGTGTCCTTGCTTAAGCTTAGATTTGCTGTTTATTGGGGTTTTTGATTTTTGGCTTGGAAACTGTGTTGTAACTTCGTATTCTTCTGTGGTGTTTTTCGCTACTGGGGCTGTTTTATGTTTGAAGGTAAACTGACACAGCTTTTTACTTTCAGCATTGGATGCGAATTTAGGGCATTTGAAACTCTCGAAGTTCTTCAGCTGGTTCAGTGGTGTTGGGTTCATTTGCCATTGTAGCGCCTGTGTGATTGTGACGACATACACATCATCAATAGAAACCATTTTCTGTATGAACTCATCCATGGCTTCTAGCTGGTATTTTGTGTTGAGCCAGGGCGAGTGCAGGTTTAGGTAAAGGGGTGCTCGGTTGCTGTGGTAGTTTCTAAGAAAATTCTTCCATAACATCTGAAAGGAAACAAAGAGACTATGAAAGTCACAGGTATTATGAGCATATAAAACTACATTACAAAGTACTGAACTTCAAAGTCTAGTAAACAGTTGGGAACAAAAGAGCTGGCAATATCCCCGGCCTTCTCTATTTTGGAGAAACTATGGGGGTGACTGCAGTCAAGCTAAAATAAAATAATTAACATTTAAAATGTGATAAGATTAGAACTATTTAGATGAAGGTATGTTGGATATTGATACCTCTTGGACTAAGAACGCCAAGGCTGTGGATAAGGCGATTTTCCAAAGCGAGGCGGGTAGTATGATCGCCAGAGCAAGATTTTAATGCTGTGACAGATATGTCATCTTTACCGCTGTGGTCATTTTAAATGTTAATTATTTTATTTTATTTTATATTATTACCATATTCTATTTCTTATCAATATCATTTATGTATCATTAACACTTGCATTTCTTTTATTCCCAGTATTGTGAATATATTTTTTAGCCATCGTTTATTTTATTTTATTTCATTTATTCCGCATTACATTTTTTTAAACGTCGCTCACGTCACCCCTTAGAGATCTACATACTCTCCATTCCTCGTTTGTGTATTTCACTTGTGTTTGAAAAAGGCTGCCTGGCCGAAACGTTACGTTGTGTTGTTTTGTGCACGTTTTCCTCTTTCCCACTTTGTTGAGCTTTTTAGTCAAATTTTTCTGGAATTCATTCTATTTTGGAGAAGGCGGTGGCGATATCAAAGACAGAATAGACAGACAATATTGAGATGTGTTCATGATCAAGTCTAACAAAATGCTCAAGAAAGTTTCATGACAGGAACTACTAGAGATCAGTTACTACCAACCTTCATGTTGAATGTGGTCACGGATGATGATCACAGTAGACACACACAATTCTTCTTTAAATACGACCAAGCAGCAGTCTTACTTCTTCTTTTTTTTTTTTTTTTTTTTTAACTTAAACTGTACACAATGAATCTCATGAGGCATTAAGTGACATGGTAATTGAAAAATGAACTCGTGCATGTCTGCATTTATATTTTTGTCCCGAATCTGGAATTCGTGTTTTTGCCATCTGAAGTGACTTACAGTGTTGCTGGTATGAGGTGGGAACCCTTCAAGAGATGCATTTCAATAAAGAATACGTTTAAATAGAAGGATAGAAACAATTGAATAGAAAATACTTGAATACATTTTTAGAATCACGGTTGTGATAAGGAGTTACTAGAACACTAAGAATGTATCCGAGTGGTTTAAGGTCATCCTTAATGTAACCAAACTGAAGTGGGTAGAATTACATAAGACTTTAGGGAAATTCAGACTAGTTCCTGGGGTTTAAAAAAAAAAGAAGAGAATCCAAGTATCTGCGCCATGTTATTGGCAACTAAAATATACTTGTGTCATAAAGAAATGAAACAGCGTTTGTATTATTGAGAACCAATATTAGTTATGTTAATAAGAATTGAAACTTCACAATATAATTTACTAATAGAAATTAAAGATAGTTCCTGCCTTGTCTAAAACAGAAAAAAAGGGAAAATTACGGGGGTCCTTTTCAAAACTCAGGTGCATCGGGACACATAGTGTTGTACACGTTTTTTTTTTTTTTATAAAACAATCGACACTTGATGGGTAATGTGGTCAACATATCGCCGGACGCATTTACTTACCAGGACATTATTTGGTACTTACTTTAGTCTGGGTCGATGTGGAAGCCACGGTCAATTTTGAAGAAACAAAGCCAGCCACGATGAGGATTTGAACCCTAGTCATTTGAACCAAAAGGCGGGCAGGTCTAACTACGTATATTATATATTAAAAATACCTACGCATTTTACCATACGCCTGGCAAATAAAGAGGATTGGAAATGGTTAGGGGTTAGAGAGGGAGAGAGAGGGGGGAGATTTCAAGTACACAAATTAAGAACTGAATTTTTACCTGATATGCTTCGTTTTTGTCTCTGGGATTATTGGCGCAGTCATCCACGTAGGCACACGGTTTCTGGTCGCTGTGGTCCATGACAACCACCACTGGCAGAATCCACAAACCTGGATACCGTTTCTGCGGACAGCGGGCGATATTACATACTAGTGTGTAGCCGTAGTCTAGAGTAAACGGCCACAGCACTGGAGAGTAAAGGTTCTTTGGGAACGAGTAAGTCATTGTGGCGTCGTATCTAATGTTTGAGGAAACAAATGTAGTTGTTACAGAAACTGTTACACAAATGGTTTAAGCCGCACGTGATCTTCTTTTGAATTTACAACATTAAAGATTGAAGCTCAATAATATGAAGGGACCCTATTCCAAAGCAAATATACAAGAGCAAATCCAACGCGGGTGACTATGTGACTTAGTCCAGTCACCAAATGATTATTGACTACTTCATACGTGGTATACTTTTACAAACAGTTTCTGTCACAGCCTATTGTTACATGAACCCCGCATATACTGGGCCATTTAGAAAGATTGCCAGAAGTTTAAAATGTTATTATGAAAGAAAATTTGATTGTGATGTCTAAGGGGTATTCTCCTGCCACAACTTCTGAATCGTGTCCAGAGTTACAACTGCTATTGCTGCTACTACTACTACTAATTTTACTACTACTACTCCTACTACTACATCTTCTACTACTACTACTACTACTACTACTACTACTACTACTACTACTACTACTACTACTACTACTACTACTACTACTACTACTACTACCTCTACTACTACTACTACTACTACTACTACTGATGCTGCTGCTGTTTTATTACTGACACTACTATTACAACTAGAAAAACACCTCTTACGTCAAAAAAGCAATGGGTGTGCTAACAATGTCCCAAGAGAATACAATTCATGTTCACTTTAAGCTGTTTCATCATTGTAAGCACAGGGTTACTGGGGTATTTCTGATCACCATTATTATACTTTTACTACAACCACCACTACCACCACTACTACTACTACTGCTGCTGCTGCTACTACTAATACTACTACTATAAAAACTACGATCTGCTACTACAAAAACAACTATTACTACAACACCACCACCATTTCTACTTAGGAGGGATAGACATTTTTACTATGCGAGATATAAAGTTTGTTGCTTTGTTTGCGGACTTAACTTTATTTTTAGCTGCTTTTAGCATTTTGTACTACAAAAGAGTCGAATGTACTTAACGGAAGCAACAACAGTAAGATAAAAAAAAAAAAAGCTTATAAAAGAGGATAGTTTATGCTATGACTGTCACAAATAACCAGTGCATCATGAATTTTAAATAAATTAACAAATCTCTGGACTAAAAGTACAGGTAGATAGATTGTTATTTGCTGTAAATGAACATCGTGGGCTAGAAAATTGCTCTAGTTAAGAGATGAAACAAACGGGATATACCAGCTTAAAAAAAAAAATTACATCCCCTTAACTTTAAGAACTTGTAACTTTATTAAAATCAACTAAAGAAACACATAAACTCTTCTTCATCACCTCTTTTACCGCTGCGAGTGTCGAGGAAGATATAAAGTTCTGCTTCTCGCTCCTTTGGCCGCTTTGATCATAGATACACGTAGTGCTGTGATTCAATGAGTATGATCCGGAGGGATCAGGCAGGTTCGATGCGAATAATTACAGAAGTCCACTTTGCGTGGAGTCACCTTTATTTTTGTTCCGCAAACGCAGGCGTCGATGGAAATGAAAGACCTGATAGGTTGGCTGGATCCGCTATCATTACCGATGGTCAGCCTATGGATCATGCTGATATTATTAATGCCCTCAGAGAAATAGGAAGGATAAAGAACTTTGGGGGCAGTGAATCCACATCACTCGCCATAATGACAGACTTGGGAATTAAGATCGGTATAGCAAAAGACGAGACGCCCATCAGACATCCAGAAGACTTGTTAATCAACATTGAACTGGTACTATTAGCCATCGGACGTTGGGGTTCATACTGAGGGGAGGATCTAACCACATATGTACATGTCCGGAGTGCAATGATGATAACCCAACTAAATAACTAACTAATTGTAGTGCTGTAGGATTTATCTCGTGTTACTTTTCTGTCTTGTACTTGGTCTGCCTTGTGCTCTAGGTTCTTCTCTTTAAGTTTATGCCTTGTAATGTAACGCGTCACAAAGCATTCTTTCTAAGTGGGCAAACCATTTGATTAGCTCTATTTGTATGTAATTTAGAATTGGTTCTGTGTGGAAATTTTCTCTTATGACCTCATTCCAGATTTGTATCTCTTCTGGTCACTTTAGCAACCATTCTCGGGCGTCGCTTATTTCTATAGTTACTAATACACATGCATAGAGTACTAACGTGAAATTGTTGTCGTGCAAGACGGAGAACAGGTCATCTCCTGCTGGCTGTAGAAATGGACTTCTCCAACCACGAATCTCTTCAATAGGAATGTCTGCTTTCTCTGCCAGGTTCCGTCGTTGTGTCAAAACCTTTTTGTGGAGAAAAATGTTCCTTGAGGGTTTATAGAAAAGTGTAAATGATAAACAGTGCAATGAAGATTTCTTGAGAAAGAAATTAGTGTACAAGGAGAACTGCTGCATCAGCACGTTTTAGAAGACTGTGATCACATATATTCGCCAATACTACAGAGTATCTCTTTTTTTACTGTGAGTAACAAGTATTCCTATCAGTATATGTGCCAACAAGGGAGAAAGATGGAGAGCTTTGGAGGCCTACTGCAGCTAGCCGTTAGTTTGGGGGTAAGAAGTAAAGAAAATGACCCCTTTCCACGCCTTCATGTGCATTAGACACATAGGGCTAGAACTACATTATAGACTCATCGATACTTAGTAGGTGATATGGTCGGTATCACGCCGACTGTCTACTTCCTAGGACTGCACCTGGTACCTACTCAAGGCTCGGTCGACCTGGAAGCCAAAGTCCTCCTCTGTCAGGACTTGAACCCACGACCTTCCGATCCGCAGGAGAGCGTCCAGCCGCTAGACCACGGAAGCTCCAGTGTGGAGGAGGGACCTTATTGATTGGTCTTTAGCGTAGCATGCATATTTATGATGACCCTTGTCTTACCATTGGCGCATCGGGTTCATGCTGCCAGACCTAAATGTTTAGTGACCAATCATCACTCGATAGGTAATGCGGCTAACATCACGCCATCCGTCTTTACTGTCCATGATATTTCCTGGTACCTATTTAAGCCTGTCGACCTGGAAACCTCGGTCATTGTAAACAGATCCGTTTCGAACTCAGGGCTTTTGGGCTGGGAGGCAAACGTCAAACGACTGCCCATCCTCAGCTCTTCTGTTACTGATATAAACACATTTTATGTCCCGCCCGTGCTGGGGATTTCCCGAACAGTGTCTCAAAACCTTTTTAAAAATACATTTGGATAAACCACGAGGTAGACCAAGAAGTATATGGAGAGATAATGTCCAGACAGACCTGCAAACTGTCACCAACTGGAAAGAGAAAGCCAAGCAGGGGGATACATTAAGACGGTTGAGCTCGGAATGCTGAAGAAGAAGAAGATTTTGATAAACTAGCGTATTTAACGCTGTTGGCATTGTAACACGAAAGCTAAGGTATTCTGGCCTTGAGAAAAAGGGTGACAAAAATTGCAGTTTCCGACCTTCTCGAAACCGCACTGTATATGGAAGCACACAAGGCTGGAGAATAAGCTAGACAAAGAGAGTCTTTATGTGAAAAACCTGCCGTTGGATGGTATTGTCAGCGTGGAGCGAAAGTTACAGGCAAACAAAACCAATTATTTCTTGACGCCAGCAGTGTTATGGCGTGTATTCAACAAGAAACTATAATTCGCAAAATGATCACACTAGGATACAACCGGCTAAATGACAACACTAGGACTTTTTACAACAATTACTACTGACAGTAATGCTCTTTGATAGCCCGAGTTTATTGTAGTTACTTTTATGTTTATTGTTTTTCTTGTTACTGAATCCAGGTGGATTCAAGCCGTTAATCTTGTATGACATTTCAAACCTAAGGTCTTCTTATGATTTAGTTCAAATCCATTTGCAATTCACACACTCATCCCCAGCACGTTCTAGTGTTCTCCAGGCCGTGAAAGCAAAACACAGACTCAGTCTATTTGCCACGATCTCTAGGAATAACAGTGATTCCATCGTAGTTTGCTCAGCTGGATTCCTGGCTGGACCCTTCGCAGAACAAACCACAGTCGAGGCTTTCTCCTTTAGCCTTATTAGTATGCTCACAACTTGACACCACACGCAGAACGAACGAACGAACTTTATTTGCAAAGGGTCACAAATTGAGTACGCAGCCCGTCTTACATTCGGCCCTAACAAGCAACCATATTGCACACAGCAGCTGCATTTTTTCAATAAAGCATGTTATGTTTATATAATAATATGCATATTACGAATATCAAGGAAAAAACACACAAGAATCTGTTTGTAACATGTATGCACACACTCGCGCGCTCACACACACTCACATGCACATACCCACTTACCTACTTACACACACATGCATACATATCCACATACATACACACACCTGCATACATACGCACATACATACATATTACATACACACACATGCCACACACACATACACAGATACATGAATGCACACATATACATACATACAGTCATACAAACATACACACATATACATACACAGGCACACACCTACAGACTCAAAAAGACGATTACAGACACACACGCAGACACATACACGCACAAACAGACACACACAGATACAAACATAGACACATAAAAACACACGCAGACACACACAGAGATAAAGGCAGTTCTTAGTAAACATAAACCTTGACCCGGGTAACCTGCACATGCATGAATTGTTCGTACATTTAAGTAACGTCTGTCTGGGACTCAAAGAGTTAGTGTTGTCTTACCTCGTATTCCATCGCTGGGCGGTCAGCGTCTGTCCACCACAATCTGGGCAGTTTGTGTGTGACACTGTGATCGCCAATCTCCATCCCTCTGGCGTGCAGCTTACCTACCATACAATAATCAGTGAAATTGTTGGAGACAAAGAATGTGGCCGAGATAGGGCAGCCATTGGGGTTCTTTCGGCTGCCATCTGGAGGAAACAGTCTGAAAATCACACACTTCATTTTATTTTTATTATGTTAGTAACAATTTATTGTGTAACATAAAAACGGCATTTATAGCTCCGGGACCTACACAGCCTCGTGAAGTAGGTAGCTGATTTATGTAAGACAGAAATATCACGATCTGCGTGATAGGGTGCAGATCATCAACAGTCTACAGTATGTTCTATCATTGACAATTCGGTCAACAGTCAACACTATGTTCTATCACTGACAATTCGGCATTAGTCAACAGTATGGTCTGTCATTGACAACTCGGACCTGATATACTTGGCGACTCTGAGCTCCCCCCCCCCCCCCCCCCCCCCACACACACACACATACGAATGCGCGCGCACGCACGCACACACACTCTCTCTCACACACACGCACATATACACACAGGGATGACCACGGCACGAGTACATGTTAGCCACAAAGCTACCGGGTTTCTCTCCGATTACAGAGGTGAGAGAAATATCAGGAGCGTCCCACTGATTTTTTTAGCTGTCAGGTCAGATGCCCACGCCTGTTAATTTAGACTGAATCTGCCTTGCAATGGAAGAAGTAAATTTTTCCACAAGTTTATAATGGACACAAAACAGGTTTTATATTATGTACATTTATATAAGACAAGTCTTAGTCAATCCATCATCTGGTAACTACTCGCTGACCATAAATTATCCACCTACAGCACTGTGTAAACAAGAAACACAAATAGATAATAAGAAGGAGACAGTATTGCTGTAGTCAGTTTCTTTATTGAAGCTTTTTTATTTCTTAACCTGAACTGCATTGAAATGTGACCATGATATCAGCTCACCTTAAGTAATATTGCCAATTATCCCAATTGACGGCGTCATCAAATGCAATCAGTATCATCTGTGGAATATTCTCTGGCTGCAAGTTTCCAGGAATGCTGTGCGAGGGACATCTACATGCTGGCAGTTGGCAGGTTTGCTGGCTGCAACTCTCTATCTGACTGTTTGACATGCCCACTTGCCAGGCCATCACAATGAACACGAAACAGGCTGATCGAAACTTGTATGAAATGCGGTCGTTCATTCTTCTAAGAAGTAACAATACTAAAACGCATGTTACGTCAGTCTGCATTGTTACATTTTTACAACTATGTTTTTATTTTCCTGTGTCCAAGCATTAAGGATACACCGAATTCAATGCAGCTAAAATTGTTAAGCAATATAATTGTTATCAAACGAAAAATTACTTATTTATATTTGTAAACGTAGGTAATGAAATCCAAAGCCACGATCAACTAGCTTATGATTTCTAAAAAATGAAGAATTGCTTTTTGTATACTTTCTTCAGATGGAAACAAGCGAACTATGACTTGCCCTTTATGTCACTTCCTTTATATCCAGCAGGAAAAGAGGATTAAAAAGCATCTTTGGGTTAAGTGGTGTTGTTTTATTTAAACAATGTTTTTGTGAAGTAGTTCCGTCTCCCATAGCAAGATTGCTTTGAAAAGGTCAGAGAGACAGACAAGAAAGCTTAAGTGTGAAGTTGCCGTTGTCAGATGCCGGGCGGTCTGAGCAAACACGACCACATACCTTAGGCCTTTGGGGAAAAACCAAAGCGCGGTGGTTATAGAGATTATCCTATAGCTTTAAGGAAAACAAACACAAAAATGAAGAAAATAAGTATAGTACATGTCCTTGGGCAACACGTACAAGTGTGTTGGTAGTTTCAACATAAAGCAACCAGCGGTTAAGCTGTTCAGTTAGTTCATAAGCAAGTAACGCATCATGCTTTTTATTTTCCAACTACGAATTCAAAAGCATATAGGAGACATATTATTCTGGGCTTCGTCTGTGGCTTAGGCATGGCGAGTCCGACTCGTATCTCCAACGTACTGCGATCGAAACCCACTGCTGGCTGCGTGGTTTTTTTTTTTTTTAAATCATGATACGGGTCGACCTAGGTCGATGCAGGTCGACCTAGCCTAAAATGGGTATCAGGATGGCTATTCTGGGAAAGTAAAGACGGCCGGCGTAATGCTGACCACATTACCCACCTAGTGCCGATTGGTCTGTACAATATGGGGTGCTCTTCCCATATGCTCGATGCGCCTAAGGCGTAAAAAGGGATCCGTACTTATTTTTTGGTTATGCCAGGTGAAATATTCCAGACTACAAATCTAAGCTCCAGAGGATGATCAGTGCTGAGTATGGATCCCATAGCACGTAGGACTTGAAAATTAAATATCGGTCAATTCTAAAAGCCGGGAGTAAATGTAAGCAAAATCCATGCGTGTCTGACTGAATATGAGACCAAAGCAGCAATTTCAGCAGCATTAAAACTGGACACCAAAATGGAATCAAAACTTAAAAAGACGTGTGCATGTCATATTGAAGAAAATATCACAAAACAAATGTAACTATTCAAAAACCTAGCAAACCTCATTTTAAATTCAAGGAGCCTAAATATTGATGTATTATTTACAGAAATGGTATAAGTAAAAACAGAGGAAACGGCAACTAGAATGTGAACTGAAACAAAGACAGATCCAGGATAGTTCCCAGATCTTTGTAACTGTTTCCACTCCATCTTTAGCAGGCTGGTAGTGAAGTGTTGACACTACAGAAAGCCTGGTGTCGATCCAACATTACAAATCCTGGATACCAAGTCTAACCCCCGAAATTGTTTGTAATCATGACACCCTGTAGCTACTACATTAAGTACCACTCCGCTATACTCTAAAGTCCATCGTGAATGAGAAGATGTAATTAATGCACGTGGGTTGGGCTGCTATATCAAAAGCATGATAACGAATACTTTAAAAAAAAATAACAATATTTAATGCAAGCAGTCATAACTGTAAATGTGTCACTGTTGATATATACAAAATAAAATAAAAAAATATAACATTAACAAATATACGGGAACATGTAAGAAAATTTGAAGAGACAACGCATTCAGTGCTTAGTGATATGTGAATATTTATTAGTTTTTCCAGTTTACACAAGAAGAATACACATTGACCAACAATTGGTGTGGTAAAAGATGAGATTAGTGCATAACTAAATTATCTCATCTAAAACTTTATTCTTTGTACATCCATTAACACAGTGCAACAAAACATATAGGCAACTGTTTATTAACACAGGGCATTTTAAGTTTGCAGGTTCTCTTGTACATATATGGCTGGGTCAGACCTGGAGAATCGAGGATGGCAGAGTTCCTGGGGACATCCTCTTTGGTGAATTAAAGATCGGTAGAAGATGTCTAGGCTGACAATACCGGTATTGAGGTGGACTCATGGGAACAAAATGCCATGACGTATTGTATGGAGGGGGGCACATCAGGAAGCGAATGATAATGAAGGAAGAAATTATTACAGAAAGAAAGAGCTGAGCGTCTGAGAAGAAACACCATGCTATAATTGTGGAAGACTTTTCTAAACATGAGCGGGTCTTGCTAGTCACACTCGCCTTGCCATTGACATGAGTCCTATGCCTACTCATAGCAAAATATAACACTCTCGTCTGGAAAGAAGGAAAAGTGCTAATGAATGAACATATATAGGTATTGAAAAATGTGGGCAATTCGGTAATGATACAAGATCCGACAATTAAGTAATGAGACTAATTCCATAAAAATTTAAATAATCAACAGTTAAGATATAACCTGTATCTGATTCAAAATAAGCCCCTTGTGCATTGATACAGCAAGTGGCACGACCTAACAAACACTGAAACGACCTCTGAAGTTCTTCTATTGTTATGGCCCTTAAAGTCTATATTACGACCCTTTGGATGTCATCATATCGTTAAAAAAGCGTCCTTTTAATCATAACTTTAATTTAGGGAATAGAAAATAATCACAGGGAGACAAATCTGGGAAATAGGGTGGAAGACTGAGAACACATACTTGTGTTTAGGCCAAAAATTCTTGTTTTGATGAAGTCTCTTGGGTATTCAACTCGCTGATGGTTTTGGTCATCAGACAACGACTGTGGTATAAACCGGCAAGCAACTTTTTTCTTGCCAAAATCTTGCATTTAAATTATCTGAATGGTCTCTCTATTAACACCAGATTCATCTGCCATCACCCTCACACTAATACAATGGTCTTCTTGTATCCTTTTTCTGACTTTTGCAATGAGTTCATCATTACGAACAGAAATTTGGCGTCCAGGTCTAGGTGCATTAGTAATTTTTCCACACCACTTTTGAATCGTGAATACCACCTGAACATTTGTGCATGAGATAAAAATTATTCCCATAAACTTGTTGCATCAATTCAACTGTTTCAATGGCGCTTTTTCTGAGTTTTAAAAAGAATTTAATGTTAACTTTTTGCTCAGTGCTGATTATGTAACAATGCACCTCTGACTTGGTCAACAAAATGGCCGCTTGTTTGTTGTCTGCTTATCGTTCAGCTATGAGAAGTTTCTAGATCATAGATGAATGTTGCCTCTTTAGATTCCATGCTTTGCTTAATAGATGGCATTTTTGTCTTGGCTACAATAAAATCAGTCTCATTACTCAATTGTCGGACCTTGTACAATATTATTTCTTTATAGTGTTTCTATGTAAAGTCTGTAACTGTTAGGCAGATATCATTGATATTCCTTTTATAAATCCATAAATATTACTGTATTATTTTGGTGCATGCTTGCTTTGTTGGTCAGGAAAAAAAAATTATGTTCAAATTTCATTATGTCTGAGTTTCAAAACTTCATGTAGTTAAAGTAGTTGCCTAGCAGATACTGCCATTTTGGCATGAAGTATCTTCATATATTCTAGGACAGGGAATTGGTGAGGGAAAGGGGGGGGGGGTTGTCAGTTCTCTACCTAATCATCTCTCTCCTAGCAAATTAATACAAAATACTGAAAATTGTACCTGCCAACTTTAATAAGATTAGGTCGATTCTATTCCACATTGGTCATCAAAAATAAGTTTTGTTTGTTTGTTTGTTTGGGATTAAAATCAGACAACTGTGTTTCCTGTAGATGCTATAATATCACATAATAAAATAGCATTAGAGAACTTTCTTCACTCCAGTGTCGGGCATATGATGCTAGAGACTCTTCTTTCTAACAATATCACTTAATGCAGCAACAATTATATTTCAAATCAATTTTAAGAGGAAATCAAATTCCCAGCCCATATAATTAGAAATTTGCAGTGGTGTAAAACACAGTGAATGTGAAATGTACCATAGCACAACTATGTAAGAGTCGCTAAATGTATATTGTTAATTATTGTTTTACAAACTAGGAGCTTAAGAATGTTAAACAGTTTCTTGTAACAAAACACATAAACAGAATAATAGAATAGCAAATATTTGATGACAAAATTACATTCTTAACAAGAAAGGAATGTGTAGTAAAATAAAATAATATGTTCTATGGACAGTAACAACTGCATCCCAAACCAAAACAATGAAAGTCAGCATAACGTAAGTGCCATTTAAGAGGACGCCATATAGACATACAACAAAAGGCAGTCTTAAAAGCACGCACACATTTGCATGTAACACACAAACAAAACACTGATAAACTATGCATGTTTTGGAAAATAAAATAAATTATTAAGGTAACCATTTATATCTAAAAAAAAAAAAACTCAATAGGTTATAATTTGATAATAATGTTTTGGGCATAAAGCCTATATGAAAAGTAATTACTCATCAATATTGATAATGACATTCGGTTTCAACTGAAAAACAAGATGTTAGTGGCTGTGAACCTTGTTCTGTTTTCTTAATCCATTATTCATAAATCAGCTTTCATTTGCCAACAAAAATGTTAATTATACTGAAAGACAAATGTTCCTGTAGTGCCTTAACTCTACTTTTATGAGTCTTCTCCTCCTCGTTTTCTTCCTGATATGAACAAAGCTTTTTTGTCTTTCATATCATCCTTCCTTTTAAATCTGTCGTCCTGTCTATTTTCGTGCTTCATTAATCGTTTCATATAATCTTTCAGGATTGAGTGTATGCTTTACCCATTGTAACATGAAGTTCTTTTTTTTTTCCTCTCTGAGCCATTCTTTTATATATTCTTTTATGTAATCCTTACTGTCCATGTGCGTGACTGAAATATTCTTTGATGTAATCTTTACTGACTGTGTAAATTATTGAACCATAATTTCATCTAATCATTCTTGAATTACACATAAACAAGTTATCTTGTCATGTTATCCATCCTGACTATGCACATTACTGAGTCATTTTTTTTCATGCCCTCTATCTTGACAATGCAAATGCCTAAGCCATCTTTTTATGTTATTTATCTAAAAGCCGCATTAGCGCAGTCGATAGGAGGCTCGCTTTCAAATTCAGCTGCGACTCGCTGCAGCCACAGTTGGTGTTCGAAACCGGGCAGTTCCCGGGGTTCACCCAGCCTCTAGGAAATGGGTACCAGAGTTGATACTCTGGGGTGAATGGAGGAACGTCGCTGTAGCGAGGGAGTTACGTGCGAACTGGGTCATAGGCGGACAATTCTTATTAGCTGTCTGTACTGGTGGCAGAGCACTTATAGTTTATAACAGTGTGCAATGACACTGGTTACCATCTCCAGACTTAACCTTTATCTAAACCATTCACATGGTTTAGCCATTGTATTAAATCACATATCTTGACTATGCACATGGCAGAAACATATTCTCATGTTTATCCATCTTAACCATACATATCGCTGAGCGATCTTGTCCCCTTTATTCATCTGTACCATCTATTTAGCCAAACCATCTTTTGATGGTAACCTTCTTGACCATCCAACTGGACTTTTTTGTATCTACTCACTCTTTAATGAATGTAAAACATAAGGTTTACAATTTTAGAAGTCGTAGGCTCAAATATTGTCACTTATTGAAAACAAAAAATCACTAAGTTCATAAATATGATGTATAAATTGCATATACACAAGTTTGCTTGTCGGCATCTGTGGCTTAGGGGTTGCGAACGCGCTTTATAATACCGGAGTGCCGGGTTCGATCCCAGCTGCAATTTGTCTTGCATTGGTTGGGAGTGGTACTGAGAGCTGACCATTCAGTAGCAGTGGCAAATTACTGAATGTAAAATTTGTACAGAAAAACCACAACACTAAAAAAATGCTAGGGTTGGTTCTGCAACGTCCCGTAAAGGAAATGCACATAACAACAAGAAAGCTTACGTGATACTTATTTAAAGAAAATAAGTGGATTCATATTATGACTCACAAATGATACCAGCATATAATTTATATACTTCTGAAAAAGAAACAAAAAAGCATAAGCAAACATATATATATATATATTTTAATTTTTTATTGAGGTACATGAACATATATATAATATACAAAGTAAAACGTAAAGGACCCTTTTCCACGACTTCAGCCATATTGGGTACATAGGGCTAGACCTACATTTTATAGACCGAATGGTACTTGGTGGGTGAAATGGTCAGAATTCCGCAGGCCACCTTTGCTTTCCAGGACGCAGCCTGGTACCCACTCAAGGCTGGGTCGACCTGGAAGCCTAGGTCTTTTTTGAAAAAAAGTCTGCCCCTGTCAAGACCTGAACCCACAACCTTCCGATCCGCAGACTAGCGTCTAGCCACTAGACGACGGCGGCTCGAGTATATAATACACAAAGCAAATACAAATACGCTATCTCTACAGATCTGAAAATATAATAAGATTAAATAATTAGCCATAAAAACACATGTATCCATTATGGAAATTTACAAACTATTTACTTACACAGTTCAGGGTATCGATGAAGAAGACAGCTACAGTGAGTATTTTTGCTGAGGTATTCAATAGCTGGAAAGCTTAATGATTATATTCGTGAGTAAATGTATTTTTATTTTTGCAAAGCTTCTATATCATTTTCTGTCAGATGTATTCAATATTCAAAAATTTGGTGAGAAAAACTAGAGAAGTCAGTCACTAATTAAGAACGAAGATCAATTATAGGCACAATAAAGATGATTTTACAAAACATCAAAGATCAGAATGGAACAAAATCAGCAAGCAGCTAGAGCATATTACATGAGACCAGCAGGCTATAAGGCAAGAGACTGATCACTATTGACTATAGAAACCCAGTGGGACATTAACACAAGCTACACAACTAACAAAAGAAAGGAAACTACATCTAACTCCTCTCTAGTGCCATTTATGTCATAGGCAATAGAACAAAATAAAAAGTATTCTCTATTCTGCTTGCTGCTGATGATAGGACACCAGACCAGCTCATCTTCATTATGTAGCAGGTCATGTGCAGAATGTGACTCTCACGACAGCCAGCTGGTAAGCCATCAGGTGCCCCCCCCCCCCCACCCAAATTACATTTCCTGTCTGGTGAACTTCATGCCTAGGATATCTTTGATATTCTCTGTCCATCACTGTGCTGGTCTACCCCTCACCTCTTCTTTTAGGAGCCATACTCTTCAGTACGTGTCTCTCCAAACCTTTATAGTGTTTAATATGGCTAAAGAATTTCACTTTTGAAGAACTGGTACTTATTATAAACCAGTCTGCTACGCTATTCACATCATAAAAATGTCAGTGTTTTTCATTTTCTTGGTCCATGATATTCTAACAATCTTCCTACAACATTCTATTTCAGAAGCTCTGAATCTCTCTCTCTCTCTCTCTCTCTCTCTCTCTCTCTCTCTATCTCTCTTCCTCTCTATTTCTCTCTGAAGTGATTGTAATGACCTTGTAGTAGCATATATAATTCTACTTCTGCTTGTTTAGATATAGAAAAGTTAAAATTACATTAAAGAACTCAATCATTTCAAGTAACAATTGTAGCATTATGGGTTATTATTAGACCTATATGGGAGAAAATCATCGAGAAAAACGTTGAATGTCAAGACTAACAAACTGCATAGTGATCTGATTGGGACTAAATCATTTAAGAATAATTGGAAAGCTTAATTTATTTTTTTAATATAATAACAACTGTATTGTTTTTCATGTTTAACATTAATGTATTAAATTAATATGAAACCAACTGTTAAGATAACAGATACCAACTTCAGTCAATTTTCAAAAATATTTGCACTTGGAACTTGAGAAAACACTTTACATTTAAAATAAAATATTACACACATTTTTAAAAGACATATCATAACTGACTTTTAACATTAAATAGTTACAAAATGAGACAGGAGTAAATAATATAATGTAAGCAAAGAAATGTGTATGTGTGCATCTCTCTCCCTCCCTCTCCTCTCAGTATGTTAAGTATGTGTGTGCAAGAATGTGTATGCTACTTAAAATATGTAATGCAGATGTTTTTTAAACATTACATTACAGAATAATCCAAGCAAAATAACCATCTCCTACAAAATAAAGGACTCAATATATTCTGATTCCTAAATGTATTCCTAAAGTATGGCTATGAATAGAAACAATGTAAGACAAATCAAGCATAACAGTATGAAAGTACAGAGTTGGTGTTTTACAGTAAAATGTTGAGAACACCGCTCTTAATTTATTTACACTTTATGATGTTCATTCAATATGTAGAGATGTTGCTGGTATATATCCTTATACAGTTCTTTGTTCTTCGCGTTCACCTGCTGTAAACTCTGACAGGAAGATCTGGTTATTCATCTATTTCTGGACTCCAGAACTTGAGTTTAGCTTGCACACCTGGTTTACAGATCAAGCTTGTTTGTATGTAGACTGTTAATTCTGAAAAAAGGAATTTTTTAGAAAAATTCTTCGATCATGAAGCACAGGTAATGCTATAGGTCAGTTCAAACCATGTGTTGAGTTCAGTTGAGTTGTGTCAAGAATTTACATCACAGCACTAGGGGCATTCCCACGTGTGCTCCATCCTCATCTTCAGCAGCCAGCACAGAGTTCCAATACTGATGGTACCATATGTCCATTTTGCCTTTCCTCTGAGTGTAGTGAGCCAGCCAGACCCTCTGGTTACACCCAGGTGCCTCATTCTCTCCAGGCCATAACAATCTTGTTTCTCTAATAATTCCGTAGCTTGTTTCCAAAGGGCCTTGAACACATCTGCCTTCTTTCAAACCATGAATCAAGTAACAACAACCAGATGTGAAAGCAATGATGTTGTCTCAAAATAAGTGCATGAAGGTTTTTCACTACAACTTGTAACATTAACGACGCCATAAAGAAATGAGTACATCAAAGATATCAGAAGAAGCAATATTTCAAAACCAATTGAGAAATAAATTTTAAAACACTAAAACAAATATCCAGTGCAGTTTCAGGATATTAATAAAACTTATGCAGTAAAGAACAAGAAATAAAAGGGTATATGTGACAGCACAAGTTGGTATTTTAAAATAAAATGTGAATTAAGAAAGAGAAGATATTAACCACTTTCACTAAAATGTAACTGATAATCAAAATTAACAAAGTTGAAAACATCTATATAGAGCAAAATAATAATTTAAAACTGTGTTCAGGTCACCTGGAATAAACAGGCTATTTAAATAATGACGTATTCAACAGTAACTTGAATAAAACCCATCCAAGGGGGGTGTATTTTCTGCTAGTTGCATATGCTCACTGGAAAGCCAAGTTAGTGTATAATCATCAAAATGTGTGCGTATAAAGAATGCACAAAAAAAGGTACCCTCCCACTGTTACATTTCCCCTCAACACAGCAAGGTATGAGAAGCATCAGATGAGATGAGGTGTGCTTGCAGATTTCTAGTTGATTATGATGAAGGTCGTCGGATTGTTAATTGAATGGCTCCATCATCGAGAAACTTGAGATGGTTCCAAGCTTCGTAATGTCGCATGGAGTGAAACTTCACCCCATTTACTTCCAAGATTTCATCCCTGACTTTCAGTTGTCCACATTTCTCAGCTGGACCACCTTTGAACATAAATTAAGAATGTGAGTACAAATTAGACAACTATATTATTTAATGACTAATATTTAGGAAGCCATTTTGTACAGATAATATTCTATTATACACATACAACATTTTGCTGCACTTTATTGTCAAGACTTGTTTTCTTGATGATAGCATGTGCATATAGACAGAATGATATTAGAGAATGATACCTATTAAGAAAGAATCATTATCATAAAGTGTTCTGTCAACTGTCTGGAGCAATCATGTTTTTCCAGAGCTTGTGCTCCAGCAGTATGTACCATTTTGTGAACAAAACAAAATCAGCCAATAGTTTTATCTTGTTGTCTCCCACTCTTTTCCCACTAAATTGTTTTCCAGCTGGGAAGAAAATATTTTTATTTTTATTTTCCTATAATTAAGCAAAAACCTAACTAATGTCTTTTTATGATTTTTAGTAAACTGTCTCATTTTTATGTCTAAGCCTTTTTCAAAACATTTAAATTGCTCAGTTTGGTAACCCCACACCCCGTGGAACCATGATTACTTCTTCAAGTTCCCCATGTGGGTTTCAGGGCCCCAATGTGAACAAAAATAAATAATAAAGAATAGGCTCACTGCCCCCATGACAGACATGTCATATAGGTTGACTAATTCTTCTTCTTCTTTGCGTTCACCAGCTGTAAACTCTGGTGGAAAGTTCTGGTTGTTCATCCACTTCTGGACTGCAGTCCTGTTCCAGAACTTGAGTGTTGCGTTTTCATCCGTTTGACAGATCTGATATATTCGTATGCAGACTGCTGGTTCCTTGCCACTCAGGCAGATGCACTCCTACTTTGAAGGAAGCTCCCAGTTAGTCGACTCCTACGATATGCTTTTGAGCAGGCAGTGGGTATATTCTTGTTTTCCTTATAATAGGGCCCTGGAATCCACGGGGGAGGTGGGGGGGGGTCTAATTATGCAATTATGGATGTTTCCTTCAAAGTTGATAGGCGTCTGAGAGGCAAAAAGCCAACAGAATGAATATAAATAAGTGATATAAATAAGTGAGAAGTGTAAAATAGATATGCATGTAGGACTCAGTACAGTCCAGTCTGGATAAGTAGAAGTCACAGGGACCTAAGAAAATGCTTCCACTTATCAGGATTTCTACTTATCCAAAGAGCACACACAATAGAGAAAATTGCCGGACTAAGCTGGTCATGTCGACTTAACCAAAATTTGACTTATTTGGGTTTGACTTAAGTTGACTCGACTGTATCTGGAACTAGACTAAAGTACAGAAATGGATGAACAAGCAGAATGCAAAGAAGAAGAAGAAGAAGAAGTAGAAGAAAATTTCTCCAAGTATTTTTATTTTGTTTCCTTTGCTGTTATTCCTATTGTTTCTACTTGTCTATAATTCATAACCAAAATTCATGTCAAAAACTGTTTTTATGTTGCATGCAAGAGCAATTTTTCTAACCTCCAATGACACACAGTTATTGCAACAGATGTTCATCATTTATAAAAATGCAGTTTAGCTTTCCCAATTAAGTAGTGCAACAAAACAATATTCTATCATGCAGGTTGATTTTTAGTTTTTTAACTAAATGAATAATTTACTTCACAATGAAACAATAACAGGGACCCTACGATGATAATCAAAACATAAATATAGGAACAACATAACTGTTTTCTGAAGATGTTTATATGAACACAGTCATTGTATTATACAATAAAAATGTGTACACAGAAACCTCAAATAAATGTTGTCAGTGAGTTACTATTTTTCCACTTTAAGATCGATATTACAGACAGTCATCCTCGTGTGAAATACAATTTTTCGTTATTTTGAAGCTCCACCCTATTCTTGGCAGGTGCCGCAATATAACCCCGCCATAAATATGGTCTAATGGCTGAACGCGGTTTCTGGGACCTCTTCCCAGGTGATCCTCATCCACATAGTGGCACTGTGTGTCATCGGGTGTTTATCGCTTGTGTGATGTCCTGGTTGGGCAAAATATACTACTACTACTACTCTAAGATCGAGAAGAACAGTGACAATGCAGCGACACAAAATACTAACACAGTCACAACACCTGGAAAATCTGATGTGAAAGCAAGAGGTTACCCAAGAAGTAGATGGATTAAAGACATTCAATGATCACAGGCAATGACAATGGCCAGTGCTACCCATCGAGTAATGGACCACAAAACTGTTACTCCCTATGACACTCAAAAGCAAAAGTTGAAGTTGCGATGATCAAAAGAAAAGAGATGTCTAAGGAGAACTGCAGAGTTACAAAAGAAAAGAAAAAGTTAAAATGAAGAAATCAAAATAAGATAAGATGATTAATATTGTAACCAGTTATACAATTCCTTAAAGAGCAACAGATTAGATAGTTTGGAAATCTTACGTAAATACCTGGTACTAACTGCCACAGAGACAATGTTGAAGAAATATAATGATACACAAAACAAAGAGGAAGACCATGCAACAGATGGAATAATACCACCAAAGACAGCCTTAAATAATTAAAAATAACTTATTCAATAGCATTAGAAGGAGCACAGAGATCCTTACAGCTCCCATGACACTTCCTGGGGATAACTAGAAGAAGAGTCGAAGATTAAGATAAAATACAGTCACTGACCTTTGAAAATCCTTTTGATAAAAATAGGCATGTCTCCTTTTAGTGATCCCACGCCACCTTCAATACAGAAGCCAACTCCTGTAGCTCCCTTCATCATAACAACTTTGTGAATGCCTGGAGCAAGTTCTTGTGACGAAGTTACAGGGCTCTTGATATTCATATGTGATGAATTTTCTGTAGCAGGTGTAGTCTTTTCTAGCAAAGAATTTCCTTCTTGTCCACCATTGACTTTATTCTCTGCTAATGTTACTTTTTCTGCTCTGTCTACTTTTGCAATGATTTTTGGTGTTTCATGAACCACCCATAGTTGTTTATCTGGTAAAGATTCTTTCATGTCTTCAAGAATTGGTAGTGTTTCTTTTACATTTACTTGATCTAACAAATTAGTGGATTGATCGGGTAAAGATAAATTTAGGTCTGGAGAAAAGGAATTATGGTCGGATGAAGGTTCTGTTTGGTGTAATAGCAGTTCTTCACAATCTTGAGTTGTTTGCGTTTGCTCTAAAAGTGATGTCTTTTGGCTTGAAGGCTGTTCCTGTTGCTCTGACAGTGTTGGTATATTATCAGGAATAAATGGTGCTTGATCTTGAGCTGGTTGTCTATGATCCATGAGCGGTGATGTTTGGTTTAGTAGGGATGGTGTTTGGTCTGGAAATTGGGGTTTGGGATCTCTTAGTAGTGGTAGGTGGCCAGAGAGTGGTAGTGTTGCATCAGGGAGTGGGGGTGCCTCATTTGGGAGTGGTGGTGCTACATCAGGGAGGGGCGGTGGTTCATCTGGTAGTGATGGGGCTTGTTCAGAGAGGGAAGGACCTTCATCTAGTAGTAGTCGTTTTTTCTCAGAATATTTTGGTCTTTTGTTCAGGTGTTCTTCTTTCTCTACAAGTGAAGACTGCTTCCCTGATATCATATGTTCTTCTTCATCTGAGGAAGATATAGATTTTGTTAAGTTTTTACATTTGTATAGAATATCTACCACACAGGATATTTAGCTCTGCAATTTATACATTAGATGTATCCTAAGTGGCATGTGGCTTAGATTGTTTCTTTGTGTCTGACTTATCATTTGTTAAGGAGAGATAGATTAAATGAGGCAAGTGCAGTAGCATTGTTGATCACAGTGAATACATCCCCATGGTTTCTCTTGAGGAACAATATTTTTCAGCTATTACTTTAAAATCCTTTTCTTCTTTCCCTTCACCGGCTGTAAACTTCAGTGGACAGTTATGGTTGTTCAGCCACTTCTGGACCCAAGTCTTGTACTAGCATTTGAGTGTTGCATGTACATCCATTTTACAAATCTGTTATATCTGTATGCAACCTGTTGGTTTCTTGCTTCTTAGGCAGATGTAATCTGACTTTAAAGAATTCTCCTAATAATCGACTCTTACAGCATGCTTGTTAGAGAAGCAGGGAGTCAAATCATGCCCCCTCCCCCTCCCACAATGGGGCCTTGGAACTCTGACAAGGGGTAAATTTATTATAGTTTTGGGAGGCGTAATAATGAAGCGGCTAGACGCTTTCCTGCCGAACCGAAGGTCTAGGGTACATATCTGCAATGAGGCAGATGTTTTTCTCTACAAAAATGACCTTGGCTCCCATGTCGACCCAGCCTGAAACTAATACCAGGTAATGAATTTTCTTTGAAATTAAAGGATCTGTGTGGTATTGTTTACATCCCCCATCAAATGTCAGTTGGTCTGTTCCAGTATTCTATAACCTGTGGGCCGTGGCTCACAGGTGGAAAATGGAAAAGTTCAGGAGGGCTGCCAAAATTGTCTGCCCGATCATGTAACATGGTTGGATAGGCTGTTTTTCTCTTCCAGGTTGAACTCAAGGATAAAAATCAAATGGGTAAAAATCCCAGAAACTGTGTTCAACCTCATAAAACAGTGATATCATGGAACCTGACAGCTACATAACATGTAGTCCAGTCTTGCTTGGGAATAAGGACAACAACTCATGTAGCATCTATGTGATTGTTGCACAGCAAGTGTGACATCGTAAATGTCAATTTGTTTTCTCTGATGTGTTGGCTGGCATGTGGGCTGCATAATAAATTCCCTGGTGTTGGTGGGCTGCGGATGTAAACAGTTTGAGGAAGACTGGTCTATGCAATTACTATACTATTATTTCACAATTATATGCCCAGTAACCACAGGTGTGAGAAGGATTATTCACTTACTTTTAACAAAGTTATCTAAGGTAGTTCTATAACTGCATTTTTGATTTAACTAACTGGTGATGGCTCTCTATTTGCAGTGTTCTGTCCATTACTGGTGATGATGTTCTTTTATCGCTGTTACTTTCAGCTGTGTGTTTTTAGATGTCTTTATATTTCATTAAGTGTGTCAACTGTTTTATTGCATCCTATTATTACTACTGCATCCTATTACTACTTTTGTAGGCTGTGTTGTTAATATCCTAACATGATTTTTGTGTTCCATTTTCCTGGTACAAAATTCAATTTCTTCATTTATATAAATCCAGTCTTTGTGTCATTTTCTTACAGAGGTAAATGCTTGCTCTTGAGTTCTTAATGTAAAATAAACATCTACTTGAAGGAATGATTAAACAAAGCATGTAGACTTTGGATATGAAAAATTTGTTTTCAAGAACACACAGGATAAACTTACACTGTGCTGTATCATCAGTGAAGTCATCGCATTCTGTGTTATTTATAGATTTTGGATTTTGTGTTTCCACCAGTGATCTTGATCTTGGAGTTGGAACTGGTCTTGTTGATCCAGCTTCTGAAACATGAAACAAAAACTGTTTATAAAAGTACATGCTTTTGTAATTTTTTGGTAATGTATAAATTAAACATAGGGTCTCTTTAGGGTCTTGAGGAATAATGGACATATTATGCTAGCTTTGTATTTTTATAGAAACATCAAACCTCGATGCGTTATGTAAACAATTATCACATTCAAGGGTACCAGAACCTAGGGCTTCGAGATCCCTTGAGTTCACCCCCCCCCCCTCCCCCCCAATTTAATATTTCAGGGTGGGCTCAGCCCCTGCAACAATTCTCTAAGGGTACCAAGAAATCACTTTTTACTATTCATAGAAATTTTCATTAATAGTATTTGTTTGCACATTTCCTATTATTTCAAGTTTATTATCATACTTTTTTGCTATTCAGTACATCAATAATAATAATAATAATAATAATAATAATAATAATAATAAAAATAATAAAGTGTTGATTTGCAAAAAAATATAATAATATATTTAAGTAAAATGAAATTATAAACAAATATAATATTTTTTTTTTCTGTACAAGATTAAAAGACACATCATAGTCTTATTACAAAATTACTGGGTTGGAAGAGGGTGAACTCAGCCCTCACTGTTTTAATTTTTTTTGGGTGGGGGGGGGGGGGGGGGGGGTTGTTATTTTCTTAATTTAGGGAGTAGTGCTGAGGCCACCCCCTTCCCCCACCTCAATTTATTTTGCCAAGAAAAGTTGTAAAAGTGGAAGAGGGGGTCTTGGCACTATTTTGCCCCCCCCCCCCCTTTCAATTTATTTATTGTCCCCAACATGATAACACTAGCAGTAGTGTTACAGCATTTTGTACCCTGAACGTTTCCTCCTGCTACTTTTAGAGTAGGTTGAGCAGGGAAATAGAATACATTCCAAACAAAAATGTTCAGCCTCAATGGGGATGTGAATACATTACCACTAGACTGAGAAAAAGACTCATGTGCTAGTTTGTGTGAAGTAGAATGTTTTTCAAGCTCTGGTCATTACTGACCTCCATATTTGATACAATAAATCCATGTGACTGGAGGTTAGGACAAGAATTCTCGCATGCCAGACAGAGCCTGTTTAAACATATGGATCTGAATCCTTGACATTTAATAAACAAGCGAAACAATGTCTTGACGCCTCAGAGGTTTTTACCGAGGAATCCTTAGAATTCAATGGAAAGCCAAAAAGAGCTACCAGATATTTTGAAAAAGGCGAGGGCTAAAAGACGTTACAAATATCAGAAAGAGACAGTCATCATATTTTAGTCATCTAGAAGAAGAAAACCAAACCATATTGTGACCACTGGATAGATTTTTGGAAAGAGAGACAGACAAATACAAGGCAAGAAAATTCTTGACAGCCTTTCGTCCTGGCGTAGAGAAGTGTCATCATATTAACTGATACATGCAAATGCAGATCGCATATTGTGGAGAAGCATGATTTCACATGCCAATTGGCAAGGCATTTGATTATGATGATGCTTCTTTTGAAGTTGGAGTGCATCTGCCGGAGAGGCAAGGAACCAACAGTCTGTATTCAGGAGAGTGAGATCTCTAAAACTGATGCACACGCAGCACTCAGGTTCTGGAGCAGGACTGCAGTTCAGTAGTGGACGAGCAACCAGAACCTTCCACCAGAGTTTACAGCTGGTGAACGCGAAGAAGAAGAAGAAGAAGAAGAAGACTATAAATATATATATTTTTTAAAATAATTAATCCCTTTCATGGCAGTAGCACATAGGTAAATGGTGCTAGACCAATATTTCACTAAAATTCCCAACCATGGTATTTTATGATTTAGTGAATGTCACACTGGCAACGAGATTTGGCTTCCTGGCTGTTATTCTCTCCTTGTACACATTTTGAGCTTTGCCATATTGGTTTTGTTTTCTTGCTAAAAATGTTTCTTGGCTGGAAAAGTTTATGAGTGAATTTTAATATTTAGATTGTGTAAAATGTTGATTGGGTTTCATAGGTTCAGAATATAAGCATGTATTTTTTAAAATTCTAATTTAAATACACATAATTTTATGTTTTACACTGGAGACAAATAATGATGATAATAATTGTCATCAGTCTACCGATCATCCTCTTCTTCTGTTCATTCCTTTTTATCCATCAACCATCTTAAAGCAAAACCTACTAACCTTTGTTATCTCCTGCATGACCTTTCTTATCCTCCTCATGTAACAGATCTTCAGCATAGCTGGTGCTCGAATGTTGGGCAGTGACACGAGTGCCGGTTATTGTTGGTGACAAAATTGGATGTACAGTGTCATGATAAACATCATTTGCTGAGACTCTCTTATCATAGTTGTCATACATCACATCTACAAGGAGTTCATCTGTGGATACTCTTGAATGTCGTCCAGAATCAGTCATCATGTTGTCAAATTCTTCAGCTGAAGAGGATATTGACACAATTTCGGCATCTTTTTTCAATGAAAATGGTACCTTCTTTACTTCGTGGGATGCAATCACCATAGATTCACTGGGTGAAGAAATAGCATCATCAGTAGCTAGATCTTGGTCTTCATCGCCAGCCATTCCAGAATCCTCACTGAACAAATCTAAAGGACTTGTCAAATTTGTATCTATAGCATCAACATCATCAGAATTGCTGTTACTAAAATTTACTGTATTTTTAGAATCACAAATAACTGTCATATTTTCTCGGTTAATGTCAAACTGACCAGTCGTTAAAATAGACTCGTTGTTTGTATTCACTTCTGCCTTTGCAGGTTTAGTCACAGAATAATGTTGATCCGTATACATACTCTCAGACCATGTGTCTATATCTAGAAAATTATTAACTTGTCCATTCACAGTTTGGGACTCAAGCTGATTTATAAAGTCATCAGTACTAATCAGAAAGTCTGTACTTTGCAATGATTGTGGTGGTGAAGTATGTACTGGAGGTTCTTTCTCAGGCAATGGGGGTGGTTCCTCTTCAAAAAGTACTGGGCATATAGAGATCTCTGAGGTACTTGCAGTCTCAACTTTAGACAATATTCCTGGATTATCCATGATTTTGGTCATAAGTTCTTCGACAAACTGATAAGCATATGCTTCTAGAAAATCTAATTGTATTTTGTTTGCCCCAGATCCTTGTCCAGTATTTATTTCACTGTTCACTTCCTTTGCTAAGCTCTGTTGATTAAAGTTCTCAGAAGTTTCTTGATAATCAACTTTGCTTTCTTCCACTTGTTCAAAGACTGTGTATTGCTGTAGTGGCAACAGATTTGTATCTGTTTCTGTTGTTCCAAAATCAAGCTGCAACAGTTGCTCAAATGTATCTGTAGAATCGATTTTGATACTATTATTAGTGAATGAAGTTTCATTTATTTCCGTTACTTGACTTGAGATATTCTTTAGTGAGTCTCTATTAGATTCATTTATTTTCTTTGTGATATTAATTGTGTCTATGTCTTCAGACAGGTAGTTTGTCTTAGATGGCATGCTCACTACATCTGAATTATCAACAAATTGCTGCTGGCATTCCTTCAGGTCTTGCAGTTTGTTCTGAGTTTGATCTATTTCTTCTTTAGATTTGACTTCACACAGTTCTTTGCCATCTTTGATTTCAGCTTTAAGTTCATCTGGTTTGTGTTCCAGTTTTCTCCTTGGTAAAGCTACAGGTTTCTTTATCTCAGCATTCTGAGTGGCATAGCGGATAACACTTTCATTAGTCGGTGATGTCTGTAGAGTGTCTGAGGAGAGCTCATCATCAAGAAGAAGGTCAAACTGCTTCATGACATCCTCCTTGCTGGGCTCAGATGATGGTATCAGTGACACTAAAGGCTTGATCTGTTCTCTGCTGGCTGCACTATGCACAGACTGTTTAGAGTCATAAGAAGGTGATTTTTCTTTACTGAATACAAGTGAAGGTGACTTATTTGTGAGTAAAGCCAAGGGTGTTTTCTGGTAGATGCTAGACTGATGAATGTTGTGATTCTTGCCACTGTCTGCTGAAGCTGGAGGCTCATCTTTAAGTGTGGGTGCATGTCTTTTTAAAATGGTAAATGGAGGGGAAGTGGGGGAATCAGTTGAAGATTTCTTTCTTGGAGAAAGTGCAGCATTCAGCTGAGTTGGACTTAGCACACTGCTAGAATTTTGATCCACATTTTCTATGATTTTGGTAGTGCCTTCTTCTGCATTAGCTGCTGTGTAGCTGAGTGTTCTAGGTCGTGAGAAGGTTGATGACTGTGATAAAGAGACAGCATTATTAATGTTACTTTTATGCCGATCTTGTGTTGGTAGAAATGAAGTGTTGATTGTCACGCCTCTGTCTGGATGTTCTACCCTTTCTCTTGAGACTTGCCTTGTAATCAGTGTTTTACTTACAGTTTTATGACTACTTGCAGTTTTATCATCAAATATCTTTGCTGTAGATGAAACCAATGTGTTTGTATTGTCATCAACTGATGGTTTTGATAATTTGTGATCATGCAGTTTTTCATTACCAAACGTTTTTTTCAAGGGAGGCCATACCAACTGACTTCCATCCACATGATCATCTGTCCGTTTGAAAGAACCTGGAGCAAGACGTGGTTTTGGAGCAACAGGTGGTGGAACCTTGAGTGGTGGAAGTTTTACGGAGTCAAGATTCTCTTCAGATATTGAACTTTCTCTTTCTGTTGTCTTTATTTCTGCCCTTTCTATATCTTGATGCTGAGATAAATCTCCACGTACCAGAGACGAAGGCCTTTCTAATGTATCTTGATTGTTTCTAGAGACAGTGTTATATTCATACACCAGCTCAGGATGAGTTACTGAGTTTGAACTGTTTTCAGTATTCTGTATTTCTGTGCTCTGATTCAACAGCCTTCCATTTTTTTTAAAACCTGATGGATTTTTATGATGCATGCTCTCATCTTGCGATCTTCGTCTCTGCAAAGGAATTGGTTCAATATTAAATGTATGCATCTCTGTTGAATCTTGTAGTTTCTTCAACATGACACTCTCATTTCCTTCCACATTCGTTTCCTTGGCCAGATGTGACAAGTCTGGCTGTTGCACGCCAGTTGCAACCTGTTCATTATTAAAATTGATTGAAGAACTTGTATCGACCAAAACACTTACAGGAATAGATTTCTCATCACTTTGTGATATCAGTTCTGTCTTTTCTGATGTACATTCTTCTGAAACAGCAATAAGTGAGCCTGCTGTTGGGACGATAGGCTTAACTGATGGAGAAATGAATGTATCTTCAGTCTTAGATGAATTAGATTTCCTTTGTGACAGTGTAACCTTTACTAAATCATGATTCGATGATGGGGTTGAGTGAACAACGTCTGCCACGTCTGGTTGAGCGGAGGTCAAGGAGCTGTTACTGCTGCTGGCAATACTCTTTAAATTTGATTCTGAAATAAAGAAATATTTGCTATCTGAAATGGTGATATATTTAGCTATATTTCAAATATTTAGAAACAGCAACATTGATAAGTAAGGTTAAAGACAATATTATATGTGTACACACGAGGTGTATTTCTTAAGATGCATTAATTAGTAAAGAAAAGGTCTCTTTGTCATGCATTCAGGTGTATTGGGCACATAGGGCTAGACCTGTATTTTATAGACCAATCGGTACTTGGTGGGTGATGTAGTTAACATACAGCTGGCCGCCTTTACTTTCCGGGACTGCACCTGGAACCCACTTAAGGCTGGGTCGACCTGGGAGCTAAGGTCATTTTTGGAGAAAGCCTGGTTCGGTTAGGACCAGAAACCACGACTTTCCGCTCCGCAGGTGACCCCCAAGATACAATAATAAGCATTAAAATATATGACGTCAAAGGTGCACAAAATAATGCACACAAAAAGCTGAGTAAATCAGTTTTCCAGAAACACATCTATTAGTAGATTATGATAATATTATATTCTCATCTACTATTGGTCACTTGATGGATGACGTGGTCAGTATCATGTCGGCGGGGGGGGGGGGGGGGGGGGGGGGGGGGGGGCTTTTTTTTCCTATTCTTCTGCATTTGGCGTATGTATAAAACTAAACAATTCAGGAAAAATAAATTACGCTAGTCAACAATTCTGCGTTTTTTTTTGGGGGGGGGGGGGGGGGGGGGGGGGGGGGGGTTTCGTTTCTGAAAATGTTACCCTGTGGTAAATAGGTCTGTAGTGTGAGCTTCTGAGAATCAGCACGCCATACAACTGCGATTATACCAGTGGTTCTGAAATCTCCTGACTTATGGCGGCTTGGTTCTTTTTAAAGCGGCCTAGTTAGTCTAGTACAAGTGACTCTCGATATTCTCAAGGGGTGCGATTTCAATGTAAGCCCATAAAACATTAGGGAAAAGGGGGAAAAGGTGGGGAGGGGGGATTTGATAGAGGGATGAGTGTTTGGGTCGTTCACAGCAAATATAACTTATCACACAAAAACTCCTAGAGCTATATATATATATATATATATATATATATATATATATATATATATATATATATATATATATATATATATATATTTATATATTTGGCAGGCCAAACAATTTCTAGAGGCCTCAGAGATGTGGTTTTACAGAAGAATGCTTAGAATACCTTGGACAGCCAAAAAGAGCAACCAAGAGGTTTTAAAAGAGGCGGGAGCCCGAAGACAACTTATCACTGACATCAGAAGGAGACAGTCATCATTTTTCGGCCATGTTATGACCACTGGAAAGATCTGTGGAAGGAGGGATAGAGGAAGACAACGAGAGAAGATGCTTGACAGCCTTGTTGCATGGCATGGAGGTGTGTCGGCACACGAACTGATACATGCTGCAGGAGATCGCGGATTATGGAGAGGCATGATCGCCCACGCCAGTCGGCAAGGCACCTGATGATGATGATGATATTTGACACAAAGCCATCAAGAATCGCGACATTTTAAAAAATAGTGACATATCTGGCCTTTTACTGTTAGGCACAGTGTACCACTATCGTTCGGACTGGACAGGTGAAACAACAAAATTAAATGTAGAACTTGAGAGAACATAGGCTACTACTCAATGACTGTGATACAAGGGGGGAAACCAACTCCATTCAGGCATCACATATTGCATGGGAAAGATCTGAACATGTAGTCCCCCTACCCACCCCACTCCCCCCCCCCAAACATACACAAACACACACATACACAGCCCACAACGTACTAAATTTGCTCTAAATAAAAATATTACCTAAATTTCATACACTCCATAAAAAAAGTTTGTTGCATATTCTCTACTAAAATCGTTGCAGAGCCAATCCCAGCACCCCCCCCCCCCCCCTTTTTTCCCCCAACAAAAAACAAAAACAAAAACAAACTCTGTTGTCTCAATATCAGACATTAATTTTTCGTTATTTTTAAGCCTACTGGCTGTAGTCTGGAGCCCTAATATAACCTAACACTTCCAATGAGGTTTCTGGAACTTTTTTCCGGGTGATCCTCATTCGCATGGTGACACGTTGTGTCACCGGATGTTTATCGCTTTGTGAATGTCCTGGTGGGGTTGAATTTCACTCACTCACCCCAGCATTGTTTAGGCTGTTGTGGGTTTTCTCGGCAAATGTTACGTTTAGTAATTTATCATTGCTCGCAAAACAGTCGAGTTTTGATGCCACTGTCGAACCCAACGAAAGACAGCTTGCTGCCAAATTACCTGCAGCTGGGACCGACCAGACACCTTGACATTACGAATTGCAACGCCCAAGCTTCAGACGCCGACAAACGCACCATACATCCCTATCAGATCCACCCACGGCTGTCTGTAACTATACATGACTAATGGAGGCTGTGAGTTCCATCCAGACTGCCCTGGGGGTTATTTCAGAAGTGTCTGCTGCCCTAATTTACAGTTGTAAGGCTGAATGAGGTTTCTGGTATTCGAGAGTGCTACCGCAAAAAATATAGAAGCCAACTCAGCCCTCATTTAATTTTCTAGGGGATTGGGATTGGTGCCAAAGGTGTTTAATTCCCGTTTAGATGCACAGTAATAATAACTATTATCATTATGTAAAAGTAAAAGTAAGGACCATTTCCACGCTGTCAGTCGTATTGGGCATATAGGGCTAGACCTCTATTTTATAGACCAATCAGCACGTGGTTTGTGACGTGGTCGGTATCACCCCGAACGCCTTTATTCCCAGGATTTTACCTGCTACCCACTCAAGGGGTGGTCAACCTGGAAGCCGAGATCAATTTTTTTTAAAACAACGACTCCGTCAGACCCTAACCCACGACCTTCCGATCTACAGGCGAGCTTCTAGCCGCTACGCTACAGCGCCCCCATTATTGTTATTATTATGTGCTGAATCGATATAATAATATGAAATGTATAAAGTTATACTTAAAAAGTAAACTCTGTACAAGGTTGAGGGACCCACTTAACCCTTTTGTAATTTCTTTTTTTTTTTTAAGAAAAAGAGGTGTTTCATGGCATTTTCACCAAAATGCATTGATCTTTACATTTTTTTTAATGGGGTTTTTTTTTTTTTTTTGGGGGGGGGGGGGGGGGGGGGGGTCCTCAAGATACCTTAACTCCTGCTGTCATCTGCTCCTGTTGGATTCTGATCCGACTAGTGGCACTAAGAGTCACTGGGTTTTTATGTTTGGGTATAAAACCCTGGACGAGACACATCTTTCTAAATTTAAAATTCGGTTGTGTACAAACACCTGACCACGACACTGGGCCACAACCTGGAATCAGTGAAACGACAACAGAAGAAGAAGATGACAGATACCTGACGAGGCTGAGAGAGCACTGCTGACCACCAGTTTAGTGAGACCTCTGGGCAGCAGCCTCAATATCTGCTGTACTCTAGCATCCGTCTGGCCAGTCAGCTCGGTGGAGTTGATGAACAAAATGTTGTCCCCAACGCTGTAGATTAGAAAGTCGATAGATCATTTGATTCATACTTGTAAACGGCAGCTGTCTGTTATTTACAGTTCTCCATTTAGATATACGCTAAATAAGCTACAGATTGGGGCATCACAATCTGCAGGGGCCTTAACAAATTCATAAACACCCCTGTCCCCTCCCCTTTTATAAATGCAGATTCATTTTAATATATTTTTAATGAAATTTCTTTTAACAGTCTTTCAGAGGTTCTATCATTTGCTTCAGTTCGCAGACGCATTCTTTATTATTTTTATATCTACCCGATCGTTTGTGGCCATTTTTGTTTGGTGTCTAAACCACTTCTTTTGTTGTTCTCTGATATTTACTAACTTACAAAAACCATTAAGGTAATTGAACGAGGTACCAAAAATCGTGTTGGCATAAAGACAACAAGACTGCAATTATAACCAAAACTGTTCACAGCAGGTTGAACATTGTCAGATGTTTTACGTTCTAAAATCAGATAGAATCGAATAAATGCACAGATGTGAGCTACATTATGGAGAGAGAGAAAAAAAATAATACAACGTTCTGCATAGATCCGGTACTGCTGTGTACAAGTAAAACGGACCAAAAACAGACAAGATAGCATGACACTGGACATGTTGTTTAGGACCGATATGTAAAATATACTAGGGAAGAAAAGCCGTGTTATTAGCATTATGGGTTCTCGGGTCCCTGTGCAAACCTGTGTGCTGAGATCCCTCGGCAACTGCTCAGAGAAATGGAATGTAAATGGCCGACGATTTTTAAATACATAATTATTTTACTGGCACTTCAACAAAACCGGTGATAAAACACAAAGATCAAATAGCATAGTGTGAAACTACTACGAAGTTACTCGACTTTCAAAGTCTTTATAAGGACCCCCCCCCCCCACCCCACCCTCCCCCAAGAAAGTGCCCAGAAGGTCAACGTTTTAAGACGTCTCTGCTTCTGGCCCCAACTTGTGCATCATTATTTCTAGATCCAATGATCTGCACGCTATTACGTGGTGTTTACTTGCTATTTAACAGCCCGTATGACCCTTACACTACCATGCCTTATTTTACGTCCTAGTAGTGCCCAACCAGTCAATACTTCTGCTTGTGTTTTCCCAAAACACTAACATGACCTGAAAAAGAGATCCACAGGACACTCCTACCCTCTGTCACCGAAGTATACGAAGCATACCTATTGCCACATTAAAGCAATGCAAAGTGGCTTGCATTACTTGACAATACCCAGATCAGAAGCACATTATGGATCTTTTTTAGATTAGCTGATGCCGCTCCTCTGGGCGATGGGTTATTTTATAGTAAATAAGATGTAGTGATGGCAGTATGGAATCAAATGGACAATGCAACAGAACGGATAGAAAATCCATTTATTGAAAATAATTCAACGAGGGGTGTCTTGAGGTTTTGGAAGATATTTAACATTGAGAGGCAAAACAGAGGGGGATTTTTAATCAGGTTGCAGTTGTTACTATTATATTATTATATTAGCGTCACGAATCTTCGTTAACTACTGAAGACATTGAAGGACCACACGTGGGATATCCCGAGTGCAGTAATGTCACTTCGTGATTCATACAGTCATTCGTTATTTTTATGTAACTTATTACTTTAACCATTTTGCAAGCTATATTATTGTCACGACTGCCTAAGCTGCTACTCAGAATAACGACACAGTGACAGACAGTCACCGGGATGGCATTTAGGTATTATTCTGGAATCTCGCCTTTCTCTTATGTAAGTTATACTTTATAACACGTGAAAAGGGAACCTGCTAGAGAGGGGTATATTTTGTTAAAAAAGAAATATCAGTGCCCTTTATATTCAGGCACCAGTGAGATAGAGGCACCCCTCACCGTATTTGATGGTGTGGGATGTTTTTAATCGAATGGAGAGGATATTGAAACATAGCTGTAACACTACGACTTGCCAACCGCCTTTTTACGAGCGAACGAAGAAAAAGAAAAAGATCCCATCAGAGGGTGAACATGTCCTTCTATAATTTCTTTGAAGAAATTAAATTTAGCGTCAAGATTATGTGGACCTATTGGTGGGGTAGGGTTGGAAAGGGGGGGGGGGGGTGAAGCTTTACAAGTGGATACAATAGGAGAACTTGGAAAAGCAGGAAGGCAAAAACAGAAATGAAAACCTGTAAATCTGGGCCTCCTACATATTGACATACTCAGTGATTCTGGAGATGTGTGAGATGGTAAACCATACCGCCTTCCCTTATCGACATACACTGACTGTTGACGGTGATGACAATACTGAACATAAATGGAGGAATAAAGAAGGTTTAATGGTATGATTATAAACTATGACCAAAACCAACATACACACATATAAGCTTACCGTATTTGGCCATCTTTGTCTACAGGTCCACCACGAGTGATCTCTGTGACTTGTATTCTTCCCTCAGCTGTCACCTTCACCTTGAGGCCTAAGCCTACAATTCCTTGAATTACATCCACCTGGAATGGACTGCCATCCTCCTGACGCACTTTAGGATACTCAGATTTGCTGATCTTGCTAGCAAATGTGCTGCTGGAGAAGCTTCCACTGGTGGGTCTGTGAAGTGATGAGCTGCTATGCTGGAATATGGTAGCTGAGGATGAACTCAGAGGCCTCAGAGCCGAGAGTGGCCTGAACGTGTGCACTGGTTTGTTTTCAGTGGTAGACGATTTGTGCACGTCTTCAAATCTTGAAGTTGTGTTGGATGAGGTGACAATCATACTTCTTGGTTGTCTCATGACGAAAGATGAGCTACTGTCATTTGATTGTTCTCTATTATCAGGTTGTGCGTTGAAATCTGTTGATTGTCGGAGTGTCCTCCTTAGTACGACTTGATCAGAAGACGGATGTGTAGACGATTCAGATGTGTTATCAGACGTGTTCAAAGCACATCTTTCTTTTACTTCAGGTTGCACGAATGCCAGCTTTGTATCACATGTCTCATGAAAGTCTTTTGCAGATTTCTTAGCGACGTTATCTGTGTTATGGTTTTTTATGTTTTCAGTGAAACTTAACACAGACACTTCTTTGTCCACAGTAGAAGCCTGCATATCTGCGTTGATTGTCTGTCTTCTGTCACCATTGTTTTCTTTTCCATATTCCATTTCTTGTGTTTTTTCTAAAAGCGAAGAAGAACCGTCTATATTCGAATGTTTCTGAGATATTTTAAATCCCGTCACTGCACGCTGGAAAGAAGTCGATGGCTTACTAGAACCTTCGTCGTCATTAACCCAAGCGTCAAGAACATTTTCAACAATTCTTTTCTGATCATAAGATAACACTGTGGGGACAATGGAATCCTCCCTAACAAGGTCTTCAGATTGCTCAGTATTTTTTTGGGACTGCGACGCTGCGGACTGAAGTGAAACTATTGAGGAAATCACATTAACGATCTCCAGTTTTGCATTGTAGTCGGGCACTTTGTTCACATCGACGTTGTTCTGTTGTGAAGGTAAGGATGGAATACAAAACTGCCTACCTTGATGATCTTTCGCACATATCATTGGCTGGATAACAGTTTCTTCACGTCCATAATTCGACACACCGATAGTCGTATGGACTAATGCTTTCTCAGGCAATGACGTTTCATTTGATTTTCTCTGGTTGTCCAGAGTACTTAAAACTGCATTATGAAAGTCAGCTGAATTTTTAGAACTAATCTCAGATGCCCAGCTGTTGAGGGCATCCAATACATTTTCTTTCTTCTCAAAAGTGTGTAATGTGGATATTCTGTCCTCTTTTGAAATGTCCGCTTTTATCATACTGCTGTTTGGTACTGAAGAAAAGGAATTCGTTGTTGATGTAGTTATTTCAGACTGGAATTCAGCCAATTCTGTTTTGTCTTCCTTGTTTAATATCCCAGATTCGTCTTGTAGTTCTCCTATGGCTTGTTCAGAAGGATTATTTGGTAGCGTGCCCTCATTGTATTTATTGACCATATGTGCTTTGACCTCTTCTTGCTCTCCAGAGTCAAACATGTTTGCCACTCCCTCATCAGTGGTCACAGCTGAGTTTTTCGAGTGACTTTTTTCCTCAGCAAAGTTTTGGTATAACTCATCCAGAGAAATAGCTGATGGTGTAGTTACGGAAGAGATGTTTTCAAGGGCGCTTGAAACACAAGTAAAATGATGTTCACTATTCACTAATGGTGAGAATATTTCTTCTTTGACAAGAAGCTCTTCATGAACATCGCCGTCTGGTGATTTACTGACATACGAATTTTCTGTAATGTGTGTATTAAATGTGGGGCGAGAATCGCAGCCTGTCGACAGTGGCACAGTGTCACATTCTGGGAAATTATGATTCTCATATTCAAGCAGGTCAAACAATGGCGATTTGGAATCATTATCACTTAAACAAGTGCCATGCAAGATGGTTACCTGATCAATCGGTTCACCAGAAGTGCCTGTCTCGTCTGCCTTTTTTTCCCCTTGAATGTGTTGACGAGCAAACGGCAAGGCTGGACTTCCCTGTTCTGAACTGTGTTTGTCTGTATAATTTAATAATTTGTCTATAACGGTATTGCTAATGTTGCTAAAGCACTCATCTGCAAAATCTTCTATAGACCGACCACTGAATGCATCATCCTTAGAAACTGCGCAACTATTTTTCAGTGTTGTCACAGAAGTACTAGGGTCTGATTTCTGGTTCAGTAAGATTAACCCGTGCTCTTTATTGTCAGTGTCCCATATTGTACTATTCAACACATCCTTATAAACCTCACTGTTTGATAAAGAGGCTTCTGTGTCAGAAGAGTGAAACAGCAGATCATCTACAGAATTTGCTAACACATCGGTGGTTGTCTGATTTTCTTGTAACTCAGAGTCTTTCAGACATTCCCTATCAGAAAACTCGCCTGGTGGTGGGATATGTATTTCATCATTAACAATGTTCGAGGAGTCATTCACTCTGGGTAATTCATTATTTCCTTCAATTGTATCTTGTTCAACACAAAAATCCGTTGAGTCAGAGAGAGAAGAAATTTCTTTACTTTCTTGTTGTGCAGTAGTAACCTCCTCAGAATAATTCGAGTCAAAGAGTTTGTTACCTCTTTCAGTTGTATCTTCACCAAAAGTAAAACCTTTTGAGTCATTCACATATAATAGTTTATTACTTCTGTCAATTGTATCTTGTGAAACAGTAACATCAGTTAAGTCATTCACATAAGATACTTGACTGCTTTTTTTAACTTCACCTTCTGCAACTGTAAAATCCGTTGAGTCATTCAAATAGGATAATTGATTATTTCCTTCATTTGTATCTTGTACAATAGTGAAATCTGTCGAGTCAGTTACATAAAATAGATTGTTACTTCCTTCAATTGTACCTTGTTTAGGAGTAACATCCGCTAAGTCTTTCACGCACGATAGCTTGTTACTTCCTTCATGTGTAAAAGTAACATCAGTTGGGTAACTGAAGTAAGAGGGTGTCAGCTGTGTATGGCTGCTAGGCCATGATGCCTCCTCTGCAGATTGTGTGTGCTCATGGCCGCCAGTATGGCGCAGTACCGTCAACTGGATGAGAGCTCCCGACGATTTCAGCACATTCAAACACTGGCTCTGTGTGAGTCCCTTCAAACTGTGGTCATTGCAGGCAAGGAGGCGGTCACCTATCTCTAGCAGTCCTGACTGGGCAGAAGCTCCTGAATGCACTAAACGTTTGATCTATGGAACAGAGTATACACACAAATCAGCACCTCTACCAATACATTTTATAAATATTATAGTATGTTTTATGTATTTAACAAACTTGACATTGCATAAATCCAACTATCAAAGCAGCCATTCATGCATCCACCCATTCATGCATGTAACCACCCAACCAGCGGTGCATTCATTCATCCATGCATCTGTTTACAAACCGAACTCAATGAGTCACCCATTCGTAAACATAAACACGTGAATGTACTTGATGAGAAATTCAGTACATTCCAATGTGAATTCAAGGCACCTGTGAATTCAAGGCACATTGGGCGCACCTCCCCCTCCCATTTGTAAGATGGTTAAGCTTACCTTTTTTCACACAGGCATAGCAGTTCTCTTATTAATTATTTGTTTAAACATATCCTCTCATTAATAGAGAATAAAATATATTATTATTTCATATCTGCCATTCAGCATCAACATCATCAGGTTACAGGTTCCTTACAGAACGTCCCTCTCGTCAGGTTACAGATTCCTTACAGAACGTCCCTCTCGTCAGGTTACAGATTCCTTACAGAACGTTCCTCTCGTCAGGTTACAGATTCCTTACAGAACGTCCCTCTCGTCAGGTTACAGATTCCTTACAGAACGTCCCTCTCATCAGGTTACAGGTTCCTTACAGAACGTCCCTCTCGTCAGGTTACAGATTCCTTACAGAACGTCCCTCTCGTCAGGTTACAGATTCCTTACAGAACGTTCCTCTCGTCAGGTTACAGATTCCTTACAGAACGTCCCTCTCGTCAGGTTACAGATTCCTTACAGAACGTCCCTCTCGTCAGGTTACAGATTCCTTACAGAACGTCCCTCTCGTCAGGTTACAGATTCCTTACAGAACGTCCCTCTCGTCAGGTTACAGATTCCTTACAGAACGTTCCTCTCGTCAGGTTACAGATTCCTTACAGAACGTCCCTCTCGTCAGGTTACAGATTCCTTACAGAACGTCCCTCTCGTCAGGTTACGCCTGAGCCTCCCTTTCTCTAGCAAGTTCTCCAGCCCTGTGTGCTTCAATTTCGCATATTATTACTTATACTACTTTCATTATTGTTAACCCTATCTCCCTCCAAATATTTTCTATGTGTCGGCGCCCCTGATTCTAGGTGCTGACAGTCGGTATAAGCAAATGTAACACTAGTCTCAACAATAGTAAAACACATGGCACCAACAGCTACTGTAGCAGTAACATTATTTGTTAGTGCAAAACAACAATTGTGATTAATAACGATGCTCTATTGAAACATCAGTTATGTCCTTCAGTAATCACTGGTACAAATCATAGAATAGGAGAAATGCTTTGTTGGTTTGCCACCCATAATAAGATTTGAATTCTTAAGGGGGATTAGGACCTTCAGGTAGCAGCCCGGAGGGAAAAAACACAAGACCCTCAAGCACAAGTGCAGGAACATACATAGAGACAATAGTAGAGCATACACCCAACGATTAACAAAAGAAAGCAATTCACCAATACCTTGGTCTGTTGTCTTGTCTAAAAACCTATTGTTTCTCACTTTTGTAAGCAAGGCTTTGTTTTTTCAGACAACAGAATTAATGCCATTTGTTTGGAATGACGCAGGGACATTCAAAACATCTGACTTCAAAGTTCAAGTTGAAGTTTTTCGGGTATGAGATCTTATATTTATAATGTTGAAATTTAATCTTCGACTGTTTGTCATAAGTTAGGCATCTGCAAAAAACCAATGCAACAAGTTCTAGTTTGCATGTTTGTGTGTGTGTAGGGTGGAGGAGTGCGTATGTTTGTGGGCGTATGTGTGTATACGTTTTGTGTGCCACAGAGTTGGATATTTATTAAATTTAGACACAGTTAACTCTTTAACCGAGCTCTTACAAACATGTAACACAAAATGCTAAAACCAACAAAAAATATAGTTAGGTCCGCGAACAAAGCAACACATGTTATAACTCGCAAGGTAAAATGTCTAGCCCAACAAAGCAAAAGTTGTAGCAGCGGCAGCAGAAGAAGAAGAAGCAAACGAAGAAGAAGAAGAAGAAGAAGAAGAAGAAGAAGAAGAAGAAGAAGAAGAAGAAGAAGAAGAAGAAGAAGAAGAAGAAGAAGAAGAAGAAGAAGAAGAAGAAGAAGAAGAAGAAAAGAAGAAGAAGAAGAAGAAGAAGAAGAAGAAGAAGAAGAAGAAGAAGAAGAAGAAGAAGAAGAAGAAGAAGAAGAAGAAGAAGAAGAAGAAGAAGAAGAAGAAGTGGAGAGAGAAAAGAAGCAATAAAGGATGATTATGATGTTATGTTATTGTTAATGATTAGCTGCACTGCTATCGCCAGCGTTTGTGATTGCTGTACGACAGCTCTTGCTGCTGTAGACTGTAGAACTACTGACATTTTTT